GTAATATCCGAAATGAACAATAAAAACAAAACAAGACACAAAAATATCAATGTGTTCCACAATGATATAAAAGTGGAAATCCCAGTTATTGTATCAGATTTGTTTAATAATTTTTTCAAAAATGCCCCTCTAGAACTTAAAGAGAAGATTACCCAGTCGAATATTACAGTAAATAATACTCAAGAAATTTTCAAACCTTCTCTATTTCTCAGACCATTCTCACCTAATGAATTGTTTAATTTGCTCAATGATAGGCTGAAAAATAAAAAAACTTCAGGTCCAGATGAAATACCCACTTTCGTTTCAAAAAAAGTTTTAAATATTATAATTGTACCTTCGACATTTTTATTAAATCTTTCATTTGAAACTGGAAAGTTTCCCACAACCCTCAAGAAAGGGAAAGTCATTCCTATTTATAAAAAAAACTGTCCCGATTACTTGGAAAATTATCGACCTATAACGATGTCAAGTAGTTTCTCAAAAGTTTTCGAATACGGATTTTTGGATAGGCTTATGAATTTTATCAATGAACATAATATTTTGACAAATAGCCAGCACGGTTTTCGACCTGGTGAATCAACAACCAGTGCAATTTATGAGTCCTACAACGATCTGATAAATTACACAGAAAAAGGAGAAGTCCCAGTTGGCATTTTCTGTGACCTGAGCCGAGCTTTCGACTGTGTGGATCATGATATTCTTTTATCAAAGTTGTATAACTATGGAATTAGAGGTGCCTGTCTGGAATGGTTAGAATCGTTTATTAGATGTCGTTCTCAATATGTGAGTTTGAAACATCAACAAAATAATATAATTCGGAATATTACATCTGCTAATACCGATATTGATATAGGTGTTTCCCAAGGATCTATGTTGGGCCCAGTTCTTTTGATTTTATACATTTATGAAATCGCAAACTCATTTCCTGATACTAAGATGACAATTTATGCAGATGACACTTTTGTACTGATTTCCAACAAAAACCAAATCGTATTAAAAGAAACCTGTGGGACTGCTCTAGTCCAACTGACTTCCTGGTTCAATCAAATCACCCTCTATTTCAATTCAGACAAAACTAACCTCATAAAATTTCATAGTCATCAGAGGGAATTGGTAGATGTAGATATAAATTTAAATATCACACCCTTACCTATAAATAACAGCTCTAAATTCTTAGGAGTAATCATTGACTCACATTTACATTGGAAAGAACATTGCAAGATCGTGATTTCCAAACTTTCATCACTCCACTATATGTTCAGAAATCTCAGAGTTGTTTTCACACAGCAACAACTGATTAATTTATACTACGCACAGGTGGAAAGTCGACTGAGGTATGGTATTTGCCTATGGGGAGACTCTACACTGTCGAATAATGTCTTCGCCTCTCAAAAAAAATCATAAGGTGTATTGCTGGTGTAAAGAAAGATTATTCTTGTAGAGAAATCTTCAAAATATTTGAAATTCTCACTTGTGTAGGCCTCTACGTATTTGAAGTCTGTATTTTTGTGTTCAAAAATAGGGATTTGTTTTTCATTAATAATGATTTCCACGAATACAACACACGTCGTAAGGATGATTTACGAATACCACTCTCTAAACGTGATATTTCATATAAAGCACCAGCTAGAATCGGCGCAAAGATTTTCAATACCCTTACCCTTCTCTATCAAAAGCTTAAAACATGAACGCACCTTCAAGAAAAACCTCAAGGAATATCTGGTTGAGAAATGTTTGAAATAGTTTGAATGAATACTTTTAACTCCATAGTTTAATTATTAAATGTAAATTGTATTTTTTATGTACAGTCGTCTTCAGAGAACATGTCGCACATGGACGGTGTCAGCTCTCTTAATCAGCGGTGCAATGAGAGCGCTCATACCGTCCAACAGCGACATGTTCACTGAAGACGAGTGTACTCTTAGTATCATGAAGCTGAGTCGATTTTTTGTCCATTTTGTATATTATGTACTTAGATTGTGTAAACATGTTACGTAGTTTTATTCAACGTGCTGTTATTTTTTTTAGTATGGATGTATCTCCTTTTTTCAGCAGTGGTGTAGATTGCTTTTTTCAACTAGGGTTGACCGGAACCTGTGTTCGAAATCCCTTAAAACGCCAATACGCGGCTGGCTGGCAAGGTGGACACAAGAAAGACATCAGGCATACTGGAACAACGTTCCAGGACAAAAACACAGCAAACTGATGGTTGGAACATTGTCCAGAACAGTGACTAACGACATTCTGAGCCTAAACAAAAGTCAGATTAGACAAGTGACGGGACTAATAACCGGTTACTGCCCCTTGAGGAAGCATATGCATCAAATGGGCATCTATACAGACGAACCCATATGCAGACTATGCACCCATGTAATATTGGAGTGCGAGGCACTAGCGCGTTGGAGAAACAACCTTCTGGGAGCACTAAACTGACATGGGATTTTTCCAACAAAAGATTTGGTGAATGGGCTGCTAAACCTCATCAAGGTTGCAGCCCTACTTTTATGGAATAGGTGCATTTGCAAACGGCAGCTCTTCGTCAGTAGGCACTACGGGTTCGAGTTATCAAAATGAGTTAAAATAGCAAAAATTCAGTTATCTAGCAATCATAAGGTTAAACAAAAAAGATGGGGCGCAACTGCAACTTTTGATTCAAATGAAATGTTACCTGGAAAGGTGAGCAACCATATAATGAATAATATTAGTTGCTATCCCAGACTAAAAGACCTGAATTTACCTTAGAGATGTTGTGAGTTGGAGTATCATGTCAATAAACAAATAAAACAGTCATATAAAATGCCCAAAACATTTAATTATGATGATAGGACTCATATATCACAGGTTTTGACAAATATGCAAAAAAATATTAGATACCCATTTCCTGTTAAGAAACTACACTCGCTATGTGTGATTTCATCAATTTATGACCTGGCGATGATTTAAAAATGGTCCATTATACACACTAGCAATGGGCATTATGAGTGAATAAAAATGAAAAATGGATGTATGTGTGTGTGTCCTACACCAGATATCCTTAATAAATGGCTTCAGTGCCACCAGATGATGATGATGAGAGGAAGGTTGGCGAAGAGCGGGGTGCTGACTTCACATTCATGGATGTCAGATGACATTGACAGAGTTGTCGTATTTCCACTTTGAAAATCCATCATATCAGAAAACAAGCAGGGGACGATATCCAGAGTCCAGATTCCAGACTACTATATACCCACCGAAGGCCTTGTAGAATTAACAGATCCTGGTAGAGCAATGTCTCCTGGGAAGAATAGTGCTCCTGGTAGGATAACTCCCGTTTGTGGAACTCCCAGTAAAACCCTTAAAAATTTCATGACAATGTGGTTCTGAATTTCTGGACTGCAGAGAGAAAAAACGAGACTCACCTTCCATGAAGGGTTGGGGATTGAAATGGTCTTAATGACGTTGAAGGTAGGCACGTGGCTGCCTGGATGATGAACCATGAAGATCCTGCCTCTTAAACCAAAACAAAAAAAAAATCTGAAGAATCCAGCAGTCCTTATAGATCAGCAACCAAATCCAGGATATCCTGATTGGATCCAGAATGCCAGGAGGTACAGGACTTCAGAAGCCGGTTCACACCACAAAAATGGCACTTGACCACCACGAAAAATTTTCTGAAGTGAGCTCCGCTCTCACGACCGGAAAGGAAATCCCTCCTCCAACATTCCAGAAACTTCGAGAACAAATTAACAGTTTCCGGTTTTCAAATTTGCGAAAAATTTGAATATCCAAAATGAAAGATGTTATCGGTACTCCCTCCAGAGACTTTCGGCAAAGTTGGTTCGGCGATGAAGACACATCAATCCCAATTCGCGTTTGGCGCTTGACAAGATTGACACTGTTGACATGTGTCATGACCGACAGCTAATTGACGTGAAGCGAAATAACTGATCAACAAAATCGAAACATCAACCTGAATTTATCAAATGCATCAATTTCAAATGTATCAATCACGAAAATAATGCCAAACGAAGTTAATTGATTCACAATGGTCAATTCCTAGTGGAACCATCCGCCTCAGCATTCCTGGAAAATCCAATACCTATTGTCTCACTGTGATGGAGTTGCAAGTGTGAAAAGTGAGTATGACAATGTATCTGAAATGGTATTTCATATTACTTAATATCATTCATCTCTTTCAGATAAGTTCCTGTAAAAACCATCCGAATCATCCTTCTACTTGGATCACATCAAAGCAGATATAGCAGGAGATATCAACGTATTTATTGAAATAGTATTTTTATTTTATGTAGAGTGTGAAATCTCAGGTGTGTATCTACATATCGGGTCTGAGAATAATTAAATAATATAAAGCAGATTGAGTTCAATTTATGTTATTGAAAATTGTTAACCATGACATTGTGACAAAATATCCTGTCAGATGTGCTCAGCAGTACAGAATAGTATAGAATCAGACAAAATATACAGTAGTGAAAATTTACATGCTACAAGGTAGCGAACCTGTTCACCTGTAAATCAATCAATCAAGCAACAACAGCAACAGACTTTCCACAATTTTGCGCAATTGAAACTGCACAAACAACATGTCTTGAAGTATACTCTTGGTGACAAGTTATTTCGCTCTCAAAATAAACCAGTACCCTTGAAGACATGAATAAAAAATCAACATCTGAGAAATAAATGGTTCTAAAAAAATATTGGTACCTATTTTGAAATTATTATTCCACAGCATGTTTTAAAATTAGTTTTATACAACAACCTCTTGATTAACCCTGTATACTGACTAATACGCCAGTATTTGATAAATTACTTTATATTTATACAAGTTGAAATTAGTCATTGCATCTACAGATTGCTAAAAAAATATGAAATAAAGAAAATTATGACACTTTAAATTAGACTAAATATTGTTGCAGTTTTTTGCATCTGAGTGTACATTGATTTTTGTAATTTGGCAATTTTAATTATCTCTGATGTGATGGGATTGATGAATAAGTACTAACCTACAAATGTGCTCCTTGCCCTGCAATTTTTTCAGAACAGCCACCTCCATTTTGAGTACCTGTTTCGGTTGCCTAGCAGATTCCACTTTAAGGGCAACCTGCTCACGAGTTATCAGATCCAAGCCTTCGTAAATCTCTCCAAAACCACCACCCCCAATTTTTTTCACCACCTGAAAATGTAATGATGTAATGAAAATTGTTTGTATGGGAGTCCATGAATTCTTCTGCTGTGAAAATCTGAATATACAGGGTGTCAAACGTTATTAGAAGTCCGTTGTAGCTCAAAGTGGAGTGATAGGTTTCGTATTCAATGAGAAAAGCACAAAGTCATTTCAACAACTTTTTAATTTGGAAACATCAAATTAGGAATATGTTTCGGACATAATATGCAATGTCCTCATCCTCCTCAACAATAGTTTTTCAATTGTTAAGCCTCATCGTCCTCTATTATTTGACTTATCATTGGGGGTTGGGACCTCTTGAAAAACCATTTTTTTTAAATGTAACATAACCTTGCATATATCCGGAACATGTTCATAAGGATGTGTTTGTCTCAGTTACCTACCTATATTCGATTTCCAGCACGGGCAAGGAACTTTTTTCAATATTTTATTTACGAATTAAATATTGTGAAGTTTCGGAGCATCGGCTTGGGATAGTCCTGCACGATTCGCTGTTGCGTTCCAATTAACAGTGCTGCTCCTAAAGTGGCGAATGGAGTTAGTAACAAAGCCTACACAGAACACGCAGAAAGATATGATGATGTGATTGTGAGCATCAGAGAAGAAGTAGGACGGTGTATGTAGGTGGGTGTGGAAAACTACCAGCTGAGCGTGAGAGCGGGCCAGCTGCTTAAGTAGACCTCGGTCTCGGGGGTTAACGATGATAGTTAGCAGGCCTGCCACTGCGCATATGGTAGTGAGTACATTACTAGCCTACAAAACACAGCTGAAAAACTCTGAAAAGAGAGCTGATGGGCGGTGCCTGAAAAGGAAGTTAGCTAGCTCTCTTGAGCGAACCACATCAGTCATTGAAAACACTTGGGGTTTGCAAAAAGGTCCCATTGGGGACTAGTTGCTGACGTGGAAACGTCCCCCACCAGTACCAGTACCAGTACCTACCTATAATTCGATATTGCTTTCTTGGTGGAGGAAGGATGTTCATTTTGGTTATTTGGAAAAAAAAATAAATCGCACTTGCTATCGTTTGTTCGAGCCCTTTTTTTAAATTTTGTAGGCACATGTGATTGATGGTAGCTCCTAGTTACAGTGTGTTTGAATATTGCTTTTATACAGGGTGTTTCACAGGTGGAGGAAGATATCTCAATGGTACATAGGGGTCACCAAGGTGGTTCTGAAAATACGATATTTGATAGGTCTTAGAATCTTCATAACGGAGATACAGGGCGATTTATCGATTTCGAATGATTATTCATCCGTATATAAGTATCGAATTTCCCAGTATATTTTCCTCCAATTTGGTATGGAGCTTATACTTGGGACGTTGGATTTATCCACCTATCGGGCGGAGTGAAAGTCTAGGTTCGGCTTCAGGAAAAATTCACATTTATTCGAAATATTTAAATAACACACTGTATGTAATAATTAACAAAATTCATCAAAGGATTCATGAAGAGGAGGAAAAACTGGATTGGATTTGATGCTTTTTATTTTCCCGCCACCAATTCTCATCGTAACAATCATAAACAGAAAGTTGAAAGTATGTCAATTTGAAGAATATTAAAATTATGAAACCAGTTCTAATTATGATTATTTGATATATTTTAGTTAAATGATTGCTCGAAATAACTTACTACTAAGTATCACAGTCTTTATAACGGAGATACAGGTTGAATTATCAGTTTCGAATAATTATTTACATGTCCATAAGTATTGAACTATCCAGTAATATTTTCTCAAAATTTGGTATGGGCCTTACTTGAGAAGTTGGGTTCATTGACCTATCAGGCGGAATGGAGATACAGGTTCAGCTCCAGGGAAAGTATCACAGTATTTCTCGCAGTATTTATAATGGAGATACAGGGTAAATTATCGAATTATAATTATTTGATATCTTCTAGTTGAATAATCGCTAGAAGTATAGAATCCAATTTAGTTTTTTCTTCCGTTCACGATTATTCTTTTGATGAACTTTATTAATTATTAAATACAGTGTGTTTTTTTATATTTCGAATGAATGTAAATTGTTCCTGAAGCCTAACGTGTATTTCCATTCCGCCCGATAGGTCAATGAATCCAACGTCTCAAGTAAGCTCCATAGCAAATTTGAGAAAATATTACTGCGTAGTTTGATACTTATGGACGAGTGAATAATTATTCGAAACTGTTATAAAGACTGTGAGACTTTTTCTGAAGCTGAACCTGTATTTCCATTCCGCCTGATAGGTCAATGAATCTAACGTCCTAATTAAGCTCCATACCAAATTTGAGGAAATATTACTGGGTAGTTCAATACTTATGGACGAGTAAATAATTATTCGAAACCGATAATTCACCCTGTATCTCTGTTATAAAGACAGTGAGACTTAGTAAGTTCTTTCGAACGATCATTTAACTGAAATATATCAAATAATCATAATTAAAACTGGTTTTATAATTTTAATACTCTTCAAATTGACATACTTTTAACTTTCTGTTTATGATTGTTACGATGCGAATTGGTGGCGGGAAAACAAAAAACATCAAATCCAATTCAGTTTTTTCTCCTCTTCACGATTCCTTCGATGAACTTTGTTAGTTATTACATACAGTGTGTTATTTTAATATTTCGAATAGATGTAAATTTTTCCTGAAGCCGAACCTGGATTTTCGTTTCGCCCGATAGGTGAATAAATTCAACGTCCCAAGTTTAAGCTCCATAACAAACTTAAGGAAAATATACCGGGTAGAACAATACTTATAGACGAATTAATAATTATTCGAAATCGATAAATGGGCGTGTACACCTCAGTAGAACTTTCAACTCAAACCATGTTTATAATGATCCTTCTATACATAAATAATGATTGAAGACATAATTCGATCGAAAAAATTAGCTGGATTGTTTTATTTTCGGACATAAATAATAGTACCTTCTGAAAACGGGCCCTCTTATGACGTAGAAACCTCATCTCGCCATAGTTGAAAGAAAATACCAAACGCCCGACGGAGACTGAGGCAACTGATATATTAATTCTTTCAACTGTGATCTCGCGCTAATTCACTCTGTCAGAAATCATGTATCATTCATCTCTGTCTGGAATAGTCTTGTTTCAGTATTAGGGTTTTGACGTCACATCATCGCATCGTTTTCAGAGGTCCGAAAAATCAGGGATTTCAATAATTTATTATGAAACGTAGGGAGCTCACAGCAAGAAACGGTTTGCGGTGGTGAGCTAGTCTGGGTGAGTTCTATCGAATTATGAAATGAAAATTTTTTATGATATAAGCCCATTGCCCTGTATCTCCGTTATGAAGACTCTAAGACCTATGAAATATGGTATTTTCAGAACCATCTTGGTGACCCCTATGTACCACTGAAATATTTCCCTTTACCTGTGGAACACTTTGTATAAAGTGTTGTTATGCACCGACTTAGGGCCAGGTAAAGTAGTTACTCTCTATATTATCCACGTATTTGAATGGTGCCTTATGAACATTTTCCAGATTTCATAAACCACATTACATAACCACGTTGGTGGGTGTTGAAACCACATAATTTCCAGAAACGATTCATTTCGCGACCTGAAACTACAGTTCTCAAAACACTTAATGGACCACTCATAATTTGACTCTATTTCGAAGACCTGTATTTTTTGAAAAAATTGACCGATCTTCATGCGGTTTTCGATATCAGATGTGATGTTTCATCGTCTTCAGAGAGAGCTAGAATACTCTGGAAAAGTCCGCAGAACAAAACTTACACAGGGTGTAAAGTGGAACCATTACACTATGGTCTACATTTCCAATGCTGCCAGAGCTCGAGAAATTTTTTTCTGATCAAAAATCAGTCATATTATGATGATACACTGGGACCTCATCTCGGAACATTTTCGTGATTTCTCCTTAATTGGCCTTTGAAACGAAAATTCGATTTTTTTTCGAAAGTCTTGCATTTCTTGAATTTTTTCTCCAGAACTCGTCTTGAGCTGACTATTGGAAAGAACTGTTCTCATTTTTTGTGGAGGACAATGAAAGACGAAAAAAGCACTATTGTGGAATAAACAGAATGATAAAAAAATAGGACAAAATCTCATTTCAGTAAAAAAAATCAAAAATGGTGACTAAAACCATGGCCCATTCGATTCAGTATATTCAGAAACGGCCTTCTCGATATCCATTATTTATATTAGAATATTAACTCGAGACGTGTTTGAAAATTCGCCTCTGATTGAAATACAGGATGAAAAATTTTCAATTCAAACTTGTTCCCTGGTATCGACGATTCTTATCAACTGATTTCCAATATTTATTGCCCAGGTATGAGACATAGAGTATTGTTGTTCAATATACTGAGTGTTTCACAACTTACTATCTGACAAATTTCAACCACAACTACGATATTAAATAAGAAGTCTATCACATAAAAATTTTATAGAAGTAAAACGAGATGGAAAATAAAATTTATAACACTTTATATCCACTAAAACTATTCGAAATGGGCTCTATTGGCGACATATGATATAAGTGAATTCTTCAGCATTATGAAGATCCAACTAGAGCTATATGAGGTCCTATATACTAAATGTCAGTACTTGGTAGGGCCTCCCTGAATTAACAAAACCTCATGAAATCGGTTTGGCATAGGTTCTATGAGGTTGTTTATGAAGTCTATTGATTTTGCCTTCCATTCTTCTGATATAGCTTGGATAAGGATGTCATTATTTTGGGATGCCTCTCGCCTTCTCGATAGGTTAAGTTTTATTCGGCTCCACACATGTTTAGTCAAATTCAGATCTGGAGATAATGCTGGTCACCACATTCTTCTAACATTATTGTTTTCAAGAGTTCATAATTTGTCAGATAAGTTGTGACACACTCAATATATTGAACAACAATACTCTGTGTCTCATACTTGGGCAAAAAATATTGGGAATCAGTTGATAAGAATCATCGATATCAGGAAACAAGTTTGAATTGAAAATTTTCATCCTGTATTTCAATTACAGGCGAATTTTTGAAAACGTCTCGAGTTAATAGTCTAATATAAATAATGGATATCGAGAAGGCCGTTTCTGAATATTCTAAATCGGATGGGCCACGGTTTTAGTCACCATTTTTTTTATTTTTTTTACTGAAATGAGATTTTGTCCTATTTTCTTATTTCCTGTACATTCCACAATAGCGGTTTTTTCGTCTTTCATTGTCCTCCACAAAACATGAGAACAGTTCTTCCCAATAGTCAGCCCAAGACGAGTTCTAGAGAAAAAATTCTAGAAATGCAAGAATTTCCAAAGAAAATCGAATTTTTGTTCCAATGGCCAATTAGGGAGAAATCACGAAAACGTCCCGAGATGAGAGAGATCCCAGTGTATCATAATATGACTGACTTTTGATCAGAAAAAGATTTCTCGAGTTATGGCAGCATTGGAAATGTAGACCATAGTATAATGGTTCCACTTTACACCCTGTGTAAGTTTTGTTCTGCGGACTTTTTCAGAGTGTTCTAGTTGTCTTTGAAGCCGATGAAACATCACATCTGATATCGAAAACCGCATGAAGATCGGTCAATTTTTTCAAAATATACAGGTCTTCCAAATAGAGTCAAATTATGAGTGGTCCATTTAGTGTGTTGAGAACTGTATATCTGAGGATATTCTGTTACAGGTGCCCCTAAAAGATCTTTACAAAAACCAAATATTACTCCGACCAAATCAATGCCATACAAACTTACCTCAGTAGAAAGTTGTTTAGTTTGGACACTAGACGGCTCTTAAGTTTCAATTTTCCAATTTGTTTTTGCTTCTAAACTCTTGAACGTCTCATGAGATTTTACTCAAGGAGCTTTATTGGATACCCAAAAGGCTACCAACCGAGGTCCTTCAGCCTGTGTTACACAGTGATTACATTGAGTTTGAATTCATCATTATTGTATGTACAAGATATATGGTATTATTGAATTAAAAGTCTATTGTGAGGCAAGAATTTTGATGAAGCATTCCAATAGTGTGTTTTCCGGAAACCTCCGTCTTGGGTTCACTGTTGGATCTCTCTGTAAACACTGGAATTGGAGATTGGATTCGTTTTTGGAAAACTTCAATGTTAGCTTTTTCAGTCTCTCAGAAATTGGTTGTACCCTGGTCAGCCGATATAGAAGTTCGTTTGATATATGGTGAAGAGGATTTTGAGGGTTCTGGATTTTGGTAATGGCTCTCACACTAGCTCTTTCTGCTACTTTCAAATTGTTCAGTGCCGTCTTCCTCGTGTTTATGTATATTGGGTGAGCATACTCAAGAATTGGGCGGCAAATGGTTTCGTAAATATGTGCTGCAGTTCTTTTGCTAATTTCTTCATTATTTTTTTTTTTTCATCAACTGGGTATGATGGTTAAAGTTTAGTTTTTGATCTAAGTGCACTCCCAGATATTTAGCTAACGCCCTTGTTCTCACTACATGATTGTTCTCAGTTACAGTGGGTGAATCATCTGATATTTTTTTATTGAAGAGTATCAGTTGAGATTTTTCTGGATTTGGTTTTAGCCTCCACTTGTCACACCATCTCATAGTGTTCCGAATTGCGTTTTGTAAATCTTCAACTGCTTTTTCAAGTGATTTATGATGACTTATAATGGCTGTATCATCAGCAAATTGTATGCCATAGATTAATGTGTTTTGATTTTGTAGATTTCGATTGTTCCAATTGAATAATACAGTATACAGGGTGATTCACATAAGAACCGACATAGAGCAGGGGCATGTAGGGGGTCCCAAAATATGGCAATTCAACGCAACTTACCTCTATACCAAGTTGCTTCCCTAAGGAGATATAGGCTTTGAAAGTGAAGTTATAAATTTTGAAAACAATCAATATCTTCCTTATTCTTGAACTTAAAGCAACCAAATTTGGTACACTTTGTGGATGTATTTAGGGCGTTACTTGACAGTGACTAGAGTTTAATTGAAATTTGTATAGGGGTATACCGGGTGGCGCACCATTAATATTCAACATAATTTTGTTAACCCTTGATGGATTTCAAAAATCTTTGCTTTGTTTTGTGGGCAATTCAATTCTAAAACTTTTCTTACTCTAGTAATTTTTCGAAAAACCTCATCATTTTCATCAAAAACTCGAATAACTGAGAATAACTGAAAACGCGCGTTCTAGGTGTGTTATTTAAAATCATGGAAAATTCAAAAGTTGGCTATGAAAATAAACGACAAACTTTACAATGAGGCAAGTGAGTTGTTCAATTAAGTAATTGTTGTCTGAGTGTTTTTGAAATGAACGGGAAGTTTTCTTTTAATTAGCAAGTTGACATGCTGTTAGTGCTATGCCTATAACTCCTTAGGGAAGTAACTTGGTATAGAGGTAAGTTGCGTTAAATTGCCATATTTTGGGACCCCCTACATGCCCCTGCCCTATGTCGGTTGTTATGTGAATCACCCTGTGTATTGTAGAGAAATTGAGACAAGGGTGAGCCCTGAGGGAGTCCTTAACGCTGGTGAAAAATTATTGATTGTGCCTGGTGTACTTTTATTTGCAGGGACCTTATGTCTAGGTAATCCCTTATTAAGTGTATTATATGTTCAGGGCAGTTCAAAGTACATAATTTGTAAAGTATTCCTTTGTGCCAAACACTGTCAAAAGCTTTGTTGATGTCAAGAAAGATAGCTGCACTACGAAATCCGGAAAGTTTGCTTGTGTATATTTGATAAGAGGACTGAAATTGGGTGAATGATTCCACATTTGTGTCGAAATCCATACTAGTGAGTAGGGATAACTTTGATGTACCAATTTGGCTGAAGATGGCCATTTGAATGGCAGAAACATGTCTCAAACCTTTCGAACCTTATTGAAGCAGGATTGACTGCATCTATTAAACATTAAACTTGTGGAGACGACTTTGAGTTTTCTTCATTAATTATTCCACTCCACTTTGAGTATGGACTACTACAGAAGATTCATAATTAGTTTGAAGAACAAAGGGTCCAATGAGATATTTTTGTGTGTGTTTCCAATAATTAACTTCTGATCTGAGAGAAATACAATAATCTTAATAGTATTGTTTTTATTCACATTTGACATTGACCACCTTTATAGCCAACCAACCTCACAGTATGACATGTCTAACCATAGAAAATATAATCAATACTGGATATAGGTATAATGTTCAATAAATGAATGGTATTTGAAAATATACTTGAGGTTTCATTGAATTTTGATAAATTGTAGGAATATCCCTTCATCTCTTGAAAGAAATGTATTTCAGTTGAAAAGTTGTGAAAGTAGTGAGTAGTTGTCAAACTTCTGGACTTCACTAGCTCATGTTTGATATTCCTGACAAATGTTACTCTACTGGTAAGAAATATATTTAGGTGCATTTCTCAGTGGATTTATAACATAGGTATCATGCTAATGTTTCATTTATTCCCTTGTGGTAAAATCCAGGGACATATACATGCCTCAAGTCCTGTTTTACAAGAACTGTAGGTGCGTTTCATGCATAAGTTTTGTTTCAACTTTGAAATTGCAAGTCTTGTGAGATCAAATTGTATCAACCTTGGTAGGTAGTGAAAATTTTGAAACATTGGTATTTGCAATATATGATTCAAGTTCCCAAAAGTGCCAAAACTCTCAAAACATATCCATTAGAAGTATTATAGAACTCAAGACAAAGAATCCATAAAATGCACTGATGATCTAATCATTTCATTGCATTATAATAATCTCCAAACAATATAAAATGTTCTTACCTTCCATCGTTCTTTAACTACATGCCCTGGCTGCAATAGATCTTCAGATGTCATGGTTATATTATTGTTTTGATCTGTAGAATCTAGGTGAACTTCCCAGCTCAACTTCCCTGGCCTGAAATATAACATAACTCATGTAAATATATAGGGGATTAATCACTGAAATAATTTATGCACCCATTAATACTTTTAATACCTTCAATCCATTCATATTAACTGTCTCAGAACTCTCAGAAAGAAATGATATTGGTAAAATCTATTACAGATTCGATTACAGCTTACAGTGAAATACAAAAAATGTACACACTGAAAAAGTGACTGCTGAAAATTAATATTGATAAAAGGAGTTATTTCATCAGGGGACCAACAATTCAACCTGGTATTTGGGATTGCCTAAAAGCAGGCAAATTTGTATGGAAAACCAGCTGATTATTTCGAACGCATGCGCGGGCATTTAAAGAACTGGAATGGCCTTATACCTTTTATGTGAAACGCCCGAAGATTATTGATTTTCAAAATCTTTATAGATAGGTAATTCTGGAAAAGCATGAGACTTATTATTAGTATAATTCGATGTTTATTTGATATGAATCAAAGAAAACTTAAGCAAAACGGACTAAACCCCTACCAACTCTCATCATATCACAAATTAATTTAATTCTCCCTTGCCCTAGAGAAAGGATAGTATTTTTTCAATGTTTGGTAATATCAATGAAAACTATCCATTTTCCCAAAAATACAAAAAGAAGTTAAATTTAGAATACATCTTGAATGATGACCTAGCTGTCAGGTAAAAATACACCTTCGGAGAGAAGTTTTTATAATAATATGGTTTTTACCTATATAACTACTGTACTGGGATATTGTATTTGAATTTTTAGTAACAATTGATTCAAATGCATAATTTGATTTTATTTGTAAGTGCACATATAAATGGGAGAGGAAATATTAATTATTCAACCGAAATCATTGCGAAACATGCAGATTATTTTTAAAAAAAAGTTGCTTGACATTTTCATGGGACTGTGTGCAAAAATAAAATAACTGAATGAATACAATATTCAATCAAGCGACAAAGTAAAATCAGACGAGAAGAAGCATGCATACTTGGTAGATAATTATATTGCCAGACAAAAAAAACTGCTCAGTAAGCATATTATTTCACATTTCTTACAGTCAACACTGCTGATAATCGATTTGCACGCCATTTTTCCAAAATTGACATGAAGTTGAAGTTGTGTCGGCGAGTTCCCGCTTATATTTGAAATTACAGACACAAAATTCGTGGTGTGGTTTTGGTTGATATTCTTGTAGTTTTTCTTCGAGTATTTCTTGTCAATGAGAGGCAGTTTTCAGATGAGCTGATATTACTATGATACGAGAATTTTGAAAGAGGCCATATCTTTCACATTGTCAACTTGAAATGAATTAAAAATGTTAAAAATATGACATATGATTTTAACGACATGACATGGATCATGGGTCCCATAGATCAAATGGATCCACAAGACACAAACTTTTTAAACATGGAGTGAAATCACAGATCACAGAAAGAAATGAACAGAAAGAAACAAGTGGATCACGGCAGGAGGCTGCCGCATGCGGCTGCAGTTGGAGTTTGGATTGTTTGGAGATTGACTAGCTACCACTAGGGTCCCTTGATGGAAATTGACGTTAAAGTCATCTTAACAGGGTACGGACAGATCCTCGTCTCCTCTCACTCTAAAGTGTTTGTGAAACAGTTATATAGTTCCATCCTTATTCAATTCTGGGGATAAACACTAGATTTTTGACATTCGTTGTTTCTTTAGGTTATATTGAGGTCACTGGCGTATCATGCGTAATTTCCATATGGAATTCCTGATTCAACTATACGAAAAGTAGACTGTTAAAAATTAATACGTAAAATGTGAAGGAAAATGAAGAATAGCAGATTATACTTCACCCCCATGTTAAAAGTCATTTTCGAATAATTTATTGATGAAAGTAACAAAGAAGTAGGTATACGCTAAGTATATAAGCAGTATAACTTATAGGCACGTGATTTTCACTCTTGCATCCTACATATTTACTATTTGTGGTAGAGTAATAATTATATAAACAAATGTTTCACCATATTGGATCCGTCATCTTGAATTTTTCGATTTTGACGAATCAATCATTATCTCCTACCCCGAAAACCCCCAGATACCAATTTTGAATAGAATCGGATCTTCATTACAAAACTCGTCCACCATATTGGATCCGCCATTTTGAATATCCCAATTTTGACGAAATAATAATAATCTCCGACCCCGGAAATATCCAGATACCAATTTTGATTCTTTGAATAGAATCGGATCATAATTACAAGCTTCGTTCGCCATATTGGATCCGCTTTCTTGAATTTCCCAATTTTGACAAAAAAAATCATAAAGTTCGACCCCGAAAACCCTCAGATACCAATCATAAATAGAATCAGATCATAATTAGAAATTTCTCTTGCTATATATTGGATCCGTCATCATGAATTTTCCAAATTTGACGAAACAATCATCAACTCCAACCCCGGAAAACCCCACATACAGTTCTCGAAAACACAAAGCATTGGCTGAGCCAGTTTCACACAACTAGAACTAGGATCCTGAAATCCTCTCTTTTATTACTTGTACGTTTTTTTTATTGAATACGACTGTACCTTCCAATTTTGAATATAATCGGATCATAATTACAAAACTCGTTCGCCATATGATCTTCCTCAACAAGTAAATACCCTGTACATACCTATTATTAAAATTTTGAAAGATTTTCTGTAGCGCCCATGGATGTGACGTGACAGCAATGTCAGGGATGCCAGTATTGCCAGTAGACAAAACTGAAGTCTCTAGATCATTAAAAAAGAATGCAGCTATGATCTGTCCGTACCCTGTTAAGATGACTTTAACGTCAATTTCCATCAAGGGACCCCAGCTACCACCAAGGCTATTTAACTCAGACCTTGGGCTACCACTGCCGAACACGCGAATCTGCGAGATGGCGTATATTTCGTATCTTACTTGGGATTAAAAAAAATGAGAATCAAGCATTCGACGAGGAAAGAAACCAAGAATACAGTCAAGACAATATCACGCCAATGTCGTGAGAAGTATGATGGCTGCAAAGTGAACACGACTGCACGATGTTCTTCCACAGCCATCATAGAGTATGATCCGGCGATTTTACTTTTCCGCATTATTTTCACTTTTCCGCTTCAAGATGTTGCGGCATCTGCTATATAACAGCATGCAACATACACAAATTGCACTTTCCATTTCAATATTTACCATCGTTAATGTTTCAGCTATTGCTATATGTTCTTCAAATAAGTTTCCTATTATATCGATGAAAAAAATCTATTTCATTATTTTTCAGAGCATGAAATGCTCCATGTAACTATTCTGTCTCATGTGCCATTTTGTAGCATCATTATAAAATTTTGTTTATCAAAAACCTTTTTCTTCATGAATACTATGGACAAAAACACTCGTAGGAAAAACTTTGTACCTAACTCTTGCGGAAAATGTCTTTTCCGCCCTTGACGACTTGCCCGATCTCCGCTCCGCGTCGTTCGTGCAACTGCTGTCGCGTGCGAAAAAGTAATACTTTCCGCACTTGTTAGGTAAATTACTATATATTAAGTTCACTCTTTTACTATCTGCAACACACGGAAGCACCTTTGTGAATATAATCTCCGTAAAAATGATAATTCGAATATTGTTGAAACAGTATTCAACCAATGTTCCGTCGAACTCGAATATTGATAATAATTCAGGAGCATTATTTGAGAAATCAAGTTGAAAGGGATTGTAGATATATTGTTAGTTCAAATTTATGTTCGGCATCAGGACCAAATGATGAATGTGAAAAAGAGGTGATCCATATCGTAAGCAGAATTTCACGGTATAATGACCCGTGGACCCCAGACATGACCGAAATTGATTTGTCGGAAATATAGTTGAGGAGGATGGAAGAAATTTAATTATTATCGTACTCTCGTATTGTTTAGAACAGATTTTAGTGATTTTAGTAGATTTTTTTCATTAAGAAACATGATATATTTAAGGATTTTCAGATACCTATCGGCTAATGTAGCTTTGAAATTATGAAACGCTTGTTAATTGTGTGAAAACTATTGATATACAGTGAAGAGCACTGTACACAGGCTATCGCTGTCGACTTATGATCAGTGCATAGAGTAGTCACTGTGGATATCGGACCATCACCCTGTATCATTCAATACCCGTCGAGGTTAGTAGCCAGGGGAGTAGTTGTTCCAGGAAATGGACCAAATTAGTCGAAAGTAAAGTGATAAGAAGAGATAATTATTAATTGATGTTATCGATACATGTATTGAGAATATGAGGGTTATCGAGGTTTTAGAATTATTGAGAGTACCTATTAAGATTTTGAGATTATCGAATTTATGAAATTTTGAGAAACCTAACGTCAAGAGAGCTCAAGGGTTTCATCACGCGAACTCCCGGAAAATGTTTTACATTGTAGGAATATTTGGGCTGTATCGAAATATTAGGATATTAGACAAATGTTTCAATAATTAGAGCAAGGAGGATGGACTCTGAAGCAGATCTGACACAGATGCACATATGAAGATAGTACGCAAAGTGAATATTCATTTTGGTACCAAAGGAAGTACATAAGTATTGTGAAGAAAACGGGTATCAGAGAATCAAAATCACACTGTAGAAAATGGGGAGCCCATATCAATAGTATTTAGCGCAAGATAAGCATGTTTCCAAAGGAAATTGTTCCATTCCAGAGGCACTCGTTGTTCATTCAGTAATCGAACCTATAGTAATTGATTTTTTGTGAATATGTTTATGGGCAAGTAATTCATGAAGAAACAAGCAGTTCAAAAAAGAGGCCGTCATGAACCGAAACTGAGCAGAACCTATTATTATGAAGAACGATATGCGAAACCATGAAGCAGGCTGGTGCTAATAACAAGACTACCCGAGATGACGAGATGTCAATTTGGCAATACCACACGGCACGAGAGAAAATGTTTTCTATCCCGTCCACAAAAAGTCGATAACGTCTAGAGTTGGACAAACTCACTACATCGGAATCGTACGTACCCAGTACGTCTAGGAAAGAACGTTCTCAGTAGATACGTCTTGAAAAAGGTCCCAGACGTTCAGACCTAAATCGGATCTGAAATGGACGTCCCCAAAACTTCGAGTGCTATATGGGAAATGACGAAGTGGACTCCTAAAATGACGTCTGAGAGACCCATATAATAATGATGTCAAAATGTCACAGACATAAAGACATCATATCACAGACGACAAAGTCAAATTCCATAAATATCCTCTGTGCATAATAATCATGCACAGGTTATCTTCACAACATTCGTTGAGAATATATGCAAGTATTCTATGAACATCCATAAAAAAAAAGACCATACCAAGAATATTGTTAGTTTATAGAAAAGGGACACGAGAATATCCTCCAAATATCTATGGTTAGCCTATCCAAAAATTGACCAAAAAATATTCCTCGAACAAATCTAGTATTAATGCTTTATACAAATATGATGAAAATATTATTGAGTCATCTTGAAAATGTCAATCAACAGAATATAATAACATGCGGGAAGTATGTCCGGAATAATAGGAGCAAAAAAATCGCTGTGCCGGTGGATTTGGCTCAGACTCTGCTCAGACTGAGGGGTGGCACAGGTAGGTTTTTGAAGATCTACCATTCAATTGGTATCGAATGGCATATAATTCTTATCTCGTTATTGAATCGTGAAATCGGATGCAAACTTGCTATTTTAATCATTTTTTCTCAGAGTGATTGGTAAAAGTGCCGTTCGATGAACTACAATCGTTATCAGATGACGGTAGAACTCTGCAGCCGGCTCTCCTACTCATGAGAATGCAATTTTATTCTCTTTGGGTTATCCTATCAGTTCAAGATCATTGTTGTGATTTTCTTCCTGAAGTTGAAGAAAATACAAGAGTCTCGAGATCATACCCGTGTGTTCACCGAACACGCTCGATCGTTACCTAAGCGGTGGGGAGACCGAGACGTAAGCAGGCAGTCATGATACAATGAGTGGGCAGGCAGCTTCTCTCATGCTGTCTTTGTTTTTGTAGTACGGGGTGGACCACCAACAGTTTTCTTGATCACATTTCAACATTTTTTTTTTTTCGAATAAATAAGAAACATTTGATAGGCATCAAGTGATCTACTGCGACCTATCAGATAATGATTTGATTTGCAATAATTCGCTATGTCACGACGAGTCCTACTCACTCCTACATCAGAGATAAGTTACATAGCGAACCACTCATCGAAAATCATGAAACTATATGTACAGTCGTCTTCAGAGATCATGTCGCGGTTGGACGGTGTCAGCGCTCTTATTGCAGGAGTTATCACGAATGCTCTCATCGTCCATG